CCCTAAGCGCCTCATCTACACGTCTTTTAAATCCCTCCAGGGATGGGGACTCCCCCACTTCCCTGGGCAGCCTGTTCCAAGGCCTGACCACTCTTTCAGTAAAGAAATTTTTCCTAATGTCCAGTCTAAACCTCCCTTGGCGCAACTTGAGGCCGTTTCCTCTCGTCCTATCACTAGTTACTTGGGAGAAGAGACCAACCCCCACCTCGCTACAACCTCCTTTCAGGTAGTTGTAGAGCGCGATGAGGTCTCCCCTCAGCCTCCTCTTCTCCAGGCTAAACAGCCCCAGTTCCCTCAGCCGCTCCTCATCAGACTTGTGCTCCAGACCCTTCACCAGCTCCGTTGCCCTTCTCTGGACACGCTCCAGCACCTCGATGTCCTTCTTGGAGTGAGGGGCCCAAAACTGAACACAGGATTCGAGGAAGCCCGGATACATCTCCTTCTGTTGGAGGCTGTTGCGAAATATTTATCAGGAGACCCTCAGATTAATTTAGTGATGTCAGGAAATAAGAGATAGATCTGGCTGGCTTTAAGCCAGGCATAATGGCAACAGCAGCTGTGTTTGATTCATCTATACAGCTCTGAGAATTAATCTCCCAGTCAGCCAGGTTGGGGGTCAGAACTGGACTTCTCCTGAGAAAAAGCACTATTCCAAACTGTGCAGCAGAACAACATGAAAAATATTGTACTCATTGCAATGTGAACAAAAACCCATACCGACGAGGATGAGACACCTTCATTCGTCTTCATTTCTGAACTCAGCCAAAATAGGAAGATATGCGGCATAAAGAGCTGTCAGGCTACTGCATTACCTAATCTTTACAAAAAGTATTTGTGTTAGGCATGGAGCTTAATTTAGGGAAGTTTGATTTTCCTTTCCCCGCACCCATTCCCCTGCTAACACTTTATTCAAGGAATCAATTAGGCCTTGATCAACCATTGATCAAGAGTTCCCAGTGGGGAGCCGTAATGCATTCTATCTGCAGTTATCGTTCCTAAATAACACCTATTTCTCAGCATGCACTTAATTCTTTTCATCAATACTTTGCTATCCTTCAACAAGCCCGTTAATAGCATTTTGGAGGTGCACTTTCAATGAAATCCTCCTTTGACAAATGAATTAGTGAAACTATCGGGATTTCCTTTGGTGTGATTGCTTTTTTCAGCCACACAGGCAAATGAATTCCATCCCCCTCACCTCCTCCTGCCTAAAAAAAGGTTAAAGTGACGTGTTGGAGTTCAAGATACTAAATGGAAAGCTGTTCAGAACAAATAGAAAAAGATAACCAATAATGCTTTACAGCAAACATTCATTAATTTTCACTCAATTCCCTATGGAGTGAAAGATGCGATGCATCTTTACAATCTCCAGAATTTTTCACTGTCATTAGCATTTCCCTAGCAATATTTCTTTTAAAGGAAAGACACAAAAGGTGCATTTCAACTTTGACAAGACTTCAGTATATGATTAAGTCAGTCACATGGATTTAAGCATGCACTTAAGTTATCTGCTGAATAGAGACAGATTTAAACCTATGCCTGAATGCTTTGCTGAAAAGAAGCCAAAATGAATTGGTTATAATTAAATTCTTTTGATGAAATTTCTGCTACTCCCTATTGTGTGGCACCAGTACTGAAATGCTAATAAACTAGTTAAAATTAAGCTTATTAACAAGTAAAATAAACCACAGAGACACTTCTGTCTTTTCTTATTTTACATCACCATTTATATAACATTATTTTGCACTAGAGAAATAAAATACTTGACGAGGGCTAACGCATCACCTTCACAGAGCAATAAGTGCATCACAATCCAGGAGACAGTCTATAGATTCCTCCACATCCACCTGCAATGCTACTCCTGTTTATCTGAGAAATCGCTTTTAGCTATGTCAGCACTTACGCAAAACCCTAATTCCGGAACACTGCCAGAGAGACGCTACATGCCAGGAACTGCTCCATGTGTAGAGAGCTCTTTTAAAAACAAACCAAATGGAGCTCTAACTGAAAAACAAAGCATTAACACACAGGCTGCTCAGGAACCATTGCATACACGTACCAGGACTTGCACGCTCTGACACATGTTATGTTAATGCAGCACATCCCTGCAGAAATACCACAGAGAGTTAAAAATGGCCTTGTCACTCTCGAGAGCCTTCGGCATGCCGACAGGCGCAGATACCACCCACACAGACACTGTTCGGAAATTCTCCCAGCCTCGCGCAGCAGCAGGAACAGCTACGCGCACTGAGGCAAAGGGGGATAAGGGACCCGGTATGTCCACCACCACTCAAAGGTTTCAACAGTAACAAGTTTTAAAATGTGTGACGACGGGACGGTGTAGGCAAAGCCAGACGCTGATGAAGAAACACCGGCAGAAAAGGCAGGCCGTCTGACTGAAGAGTGGTGCAGAGTGACCACCCTGCCGGTTCTGCAGGACTTTCCAAAGCCTGTTGTTTTCCAGTAACTTAAGAGCATCTGAAAACTGCATTCAGTTTGGATGATTTTGTCCCTTCACTTCAGCCTCCATTTCTCCATGTCCAAAAAGATTAACATCTTCTCTGTGTGTGCCCCGGACAGCCCTGCGTGCCAGGCTGACTAGGAACACGAGGCATTTTGTTACCTGAGCAGACCTCCTGCTCCGCTGAGGCTGTGTCAAAGACAAACGTGGAAAACTTTTAAGCTCTCTGGACAGAAGCTCAATGACAACAACGGTTTCTGCAGGAGGTTTGAACTATACTTTCTGTATGAATAATTTCTTCGTACAGTTGGAGTTGGATTGTGAACCCCCTCCTCGTATTGGCGAGCGGCTCAGCAGCATCAGATCATTCCTGTGAGCAACCGCTCATGAGTGCAGAAGGTGGAAGAGATTCAGTTTTTCCAGTTTGTCTTTTCAAGCCAAATGTGAAAGAGGTTGTGAGGACTGAGCTATACTTGAAGTCATACCCACTACATTCCAGTCTGTTGTCTATAATCTGTATGGCACCAGGCAAAATATCAATCAGGAATCACAATAATTTGTAGAACGTTTTGAGAAACAAAGCAAGAAATGCATCAATCTACAGACCATATTTTTTATAAGCTAGCAGTAAAAGCTATGAGGAACTCATTACAATTTACTGCGACAGGGAAAACAAGAGCATTTTCACACATCTCATGAAAAACAGAAGTAGCCGTTATTTCTCAATCCTCTACCATTCTCAGCACAGAGGGCCATTTTCAACACAGCTAAGCAGGCATGGAATTTAGGCTGTAATTTTCACAGGGACCCCAAGTGAGTTAATGGCCTAATCTTTATTGAAAATTCTTGTCTTAACTTTGAGTTGCCAATAGCAGTAACTGCTCCCATAATCAAATATCATAGCCAGTGATCCTTCAGTGCTTTTGTTCCTTAAACTAGCTTATGTTGCTCAGTTTGGCATTTCAAAAAGAAAAGGAAAAAAAAAAAATACATTATGGTCGTTTAGTTATGTTCTTCCATTTGCGGGCATTAAATAGCAGCACTATAGCTCTGCCCATAAATCAGAAAAAATGCAGACATCTGAACAAACAAACCTACTGAAAAAAATCATGTATTACAGCTGCAAAAAAGTAAATATGGACTTTTTTTTCTGTGCCTCCAGGAGAATCATCACAGTAAAAATAAATACAGATGCTAAAACCAGAAGGATTATAGTTAGAACTGGTACAAGACTATGCATGTTATTAGCATATTTTATTCTAACAGGGTCCAATCTGGTGTTGAGAAATATAAGGAGTATCCAACCTCTGACAGGATAGGGCCCTGCTGCTTTCTCTTTATCACAATAAAATTAAGGTTAACCCTATCAGTACTCCATATAGAGCCTCACATAGAAACGATCAACTTATAAAAATGTCAAATGCTGCTTTGTATTAATGGAATCAAAATAAAACATATTAAAGAGAATATTCAAGCTATAGATGGGTGCCACTCACATGACTCTAGCAATGTCACTGGAGTTTGGATTGCTTCAAACGGGGGCATAAATTTAGCCTGAAAAAATAGTGCTTTCAGAGTGATAACAACCTGCCTTACTTCTCATAATCACACAAACTCCATTCAATACCCACATCTCTTGGGCCGATATTTTTGCCCTCAAAAAAATAAAAAGCTGCACTTTTTATTGTTGTGGCATATGAACATGCACAAACACCAACAGGAGCTCCGAGTCCCTCGGGTGCCCACTTTGAGCTGAAGACAGCCTACGAACCAATCACTGCTGCTTTGGGAACAGCCAGGACAACATAGAAGTGCTATATATTTTTCCTGACAACCATCCCGCAGGAATGTATTTCCTCCTCCTATTCCCACACAGTCCACATTTCACTTCTGCAGAACTCAAGGGATTCATATTTTGCAATGTAATCAGCCAGGACAGTTGGAGGAACAAGGTGTGAGCTCAGGCCCTGCCAAAGAGATCCACAGTGCAGCTCCAAGAAGCAAGGCATTACCCCTTTTCCTTCCTACACTATGTATTCCCGAGCTTTCTCCAAGCCCCTCTCTCTTTACAACATCAGACTGCATAGCCAGTTCAGGGAACGAGTTGTGAAGAATTTATCTCTTGATACCAAGACAAACATTTCTCCATCAAAAAAAGGCAAGATGACATTCTAGGGCATGGGAGCAAGCTGGCTGCTTTAAAAGCTCAGAGAGGCTGCTGCCAAGTCACTAGAATGAGAGGCAGTGGCAATTTTGGGGCTTCTCCCAAGCTGATGAATGAGAACTGGCCGGTCTAGGCTGCCTTGGGTCCCAGCAGTCTGTCCTATCCACCTCCACAGCTGC